ATATGTGTGTGCATGTATATATATGGCTAATCTTTTTGCGTGTGTGTCCCGGTTTTGTAAACTGTTTATGGACTTAACGAATAACGAATTGGTTATGCAAATGTAAAAACGCCTTCATCCTTACCCCAGACATAGGGCCCACCTACACGTCCGTCTGTGTGTATATGTATATATATGTGTGTATATGTATATATGTGTGTGTATGTGTGTGTATATGTATATATGTGTGTGTATATATATATATATGGCTAATCTTTTTGCGTGTGTGTCCCGATTTTGTAAATTGTTTATGGACTTAACGAATAACGAATTGGTTATGCAAATGTAAAAACGCCGTCATCCTTACCCCCAGACATAGGGCCCACCTACACGTCCGTCTGTGTGTATATGTATATATGTGTATATGTGTATATGTGTATATATGTGTGTATGTATATATATGGCTAATCTTTTTGCGTGTGTGTCCCGGTTACGTAAACTGTTTATGGACTTAACGAATAACGAATTGGTTATGCAAATATAAAAACGCCGTCATCCTTACCCCCAGACATAGGGCCCACCTACACGTCCGTCTCCCAAACAAAATCGAACAACTCAGCACAGCTTATGTCAAATGTAGAAACGCCGTTTACATTTATCCACCCCCCTCCCCTCCATCTCTGCAAAATCTTTTCTCCCATCCCATTTATTACAGCTATAAATATACGACAGTACTATATACTGTTCTTTTCTCTGAAAAATTCGAGAATTACAGAACTAGCGATTCAAATTCTTAACAAATTTATCAAAACAAGCGGATCGGGAACTGCAACTTAAGGGGTCACAGACGCGTATGATCGATCGGTAATCTCGATCTATGCTGCTAATGCAACTCGTTTGCCTGATATTATGTTTATTCAATTTAATTTATTCATTTTACATTAGAATTTGAATGTCGTAGGTTTGAAATGTTAGGGTTAGATCCTCTTAAGTTATAGAATTTGACTTCTACTGTTAAAATGTACATAGTTGGTGTTTTACTTTTATTTGATACTCCTAGAAAGCAAACATTTGCATTGACAAAGTAAATGCATTAGTTAGTTATTGTCATTTGTGGGACCCAAGGGTGTGTCCGGGTGGTCAATGAAGTCAGAGGAGAACCATGATATCTCAGGTTCAAATTCTAGCAGAAGCAAAAAGTGTTGGTGATTTTTTCCCGATAGAGTTACCTAGTATCTATGTAGCAGGTACCTAGTGTAATAGTCGAGGTGCTCGCAAGTTGGCCCGAACACCACTGTCATAAAATAAAAAAGAAGTTGTTGTCATTCGTGGGAGTTTGTTTGACATAGATGATCCTATAAGAAATTAAGACGGCAAAAAGTTCAACTCTTACCTTTTGTGTTCGCTTGTAGTTATATGCTTGCGGAAGAAAGATGGTGAAGTTGACTCTGATTGCTCGTGTGACTGATGGCCTTCCGTTAGCGGAGGGGCTGGATGACGGTCGTGATGTTCCAGATGCAGATTTCTACAAACAGCAGGTCAAGGCCTTATTCAAGAACCTGTCAATGCGCCAAAATGACGCTTCAAGGATGTCTATTGAAACTGGACCTTATATCTTCCAGTATCCTTTTATTCATGTACTTTCCGATGTACATTATGATGTGTTTTGATTTCACTCTCGAAGCACAAGAGAATTCGGCAACTTCCTGTCTGAGCTTGACAAGTTATTTCTTCTGATAGGGTTTTGCGAGGGGAGGGGGTGGGATTCGTTAGAGACTTTTAATGAATATTTAACATTTTTAATAATCATTCTGCCCCTTGTCGGTACTGGTTATTGGGGGTATTTCAATTTGAAAACTCTACCAAGTCACAATACCAATTAGAAGGAAAATTCTAGTAGTTGATGGAATGTTCAGCATTCATAGATTTTAACTTCTTTTTTCGGTTGCAATTTAACAGATAAGATGGAGTTTTCTGGTTTTTTTTCCGAAATGATCAGTGTGGCTGACTTAGTGCTTTTGATGAATGAGATTTTGCCTTGGATGTGTAGAAGCTGTTAAATACTCTTGGTCCCATTTTGCACATTCCTTCTTTTGGTCTGGTTAATTGTTTTTCCACCTGATAAGATTTCACAGCTAAAACATTGTATTTTTAGTTTTTTTTTTCCTGGATTTATGAGTAGCATCAATTTCATCATTAACATGACTGACTGAATATGAAATCTAAAGGATGTTTTGGCATCTTAATCATTAACTTAATCATCCTAAGTATATGTGAACTTTTGGAGTAACCATTGTTGCCTTTACTACTTCTTTAGTCATGTGTACTTTCTGAACTACCTGTAATATTTGATCTACTGTCTCTTATGCTCTCTCTTGAATAAGTCCCTTTCATGTATCTAGTATTCTCTTAACCCATGTTCTCAGTTATATCATTGAAGGACATGTTTGTTATTTGACAATGTGTGATCGCTCTTATCCCAAGAAACTTACCTTTCAATACCTGGAGGACCTTAAGAATGAGTTTGAGCGTATAAATGGGAGTCAAATTGAAACTGCTGCTAGACCATATGCTTTTATTAAATTTGGTAAGAAATTATGTTCTTCTTACGTTTGGTAAGAAATTATGTTCTTCTTACGCCTTTGCATTCCAACTATATTTCGTTGACACCGATTTTCTAATACTTGCATTATGTGATTTTTTCCCTGTTGTAAAAAGATACATTCATACAGAAGACGAAGAAACTGTACCAGGATACAAGAACTCAACGCAATATTTCTAAGTTGAATGATGAGCTTTACGAAGTTCATCAGATAATGACTCGAAATGTACAAGAAGTTCTTGGTGTTGGTGAAAAGTTGGATCGTAAGTTTCTTATTCTAACATTTCCTTATCTTCAGTATCTTATATTAACATTAGCTCGTCGTTCTGGATTTCTTCAATTTGATAATCTCAAAAGCATTGTGCTGTTAATTTGTTTTTTCAGTTTATTATATAAGCAATACCAATCAATTGATATCAACATTGAGTTTGTATCATTACACTTGCATTATTTCCGGTGTTTGTAAGGAGTATTTCTAGTCTGGTTAGAGACTTGTATGTCCATGTACGATAAGTGTAAGAATTAGAGAATCTATTCTTTCAACTTAACTTGTCTTAATTTTTTTAAATTATTATTGGAATGAAACAGACCTGAATATAGCAGAGTGGATACAAAAGATTCTTATAGCAAAACCCTACTAATTCACGATTAGGACATAGTTGATTGATATTGTTATCCTCATTTACCAGTTAATGGTGGACATTTTTTTTTTTTTAAATTCGCATAGTAACCTGCCAGAAGTAGTGTCTATTTGGTAGTGTATCATCACAACTCTAAGACATAGTTTATATGTCTTGATGTAACTAACGCAATATTTGGTTAGCAGTATTAAATAATACATGCACTATGTTATACAAGAATCTATGTATTAACTTATGGGGGATATATGAATACGTGTATTAGCAGTGCTGGGATTAAATTATTTAAAGACAAAACTGCCCTTTTAAAGTAAATAATCCATGTATAACAGTCTCCTCATTCTTAATCACTGCATAACAATCCTTCTTTATTAATCCCGCATAAATAATCCCCGTATAACTAGTATGTGAACAAAACGACCCCTTAAGTTATAATTGTGTAGGCTGCAGGTTATATGCTTTGTTGAAGACAGAAAATAACAATTTTTGGTTTTAGTGTTGTGCTAATTTAATATGAAGTAAGAATGGTTCTGAACTTGTGCGATGAGATTTTTTTATGGAATCAATAAGTCCATGCTAAAGAAAAGTGGGTTTTGGCTATACTATTGAGAAAAATTATGATGGTTTTGGTGTAAAAATAGTGGACCCAAATCCAACTCTGTTCAAATAGAATTAAGAGTTGCATCAGTTCTGACAATATTTGGTTTTTCTAAATCCGAAAGGCACATGGCATTAGTCAGTTGAAAATTTTGTAGCTTTGACATTGATCAGACACTTATGATGATGTATGGTTTTTTATCTAGTTGGTTCTCCCTCTATTTTCACCCTTCCCATGTTCATTGTCCTATTCTCTATAAAATTTATGATCATAGTAGGTGACTAGCTTGTCTATGCATCAATTTTTGCAGAGGTCAGTCAGATGTCTAGTCGCTTGACATCTGAATCCCGGATATATGCTGATAAAGCGAAAGACTTGAATCGTCAGGTTAGTTTCATTGTGTTCACTAGATGATGACCTCATAATTTTGTTTGAAAGTTGTACTTTCACTTTTAGCTAGTAGGAACAGTAAAGCTGTACAAGGATCTGAAAGAACATAAAGCTCGGTATTCATTCTTTGGGTTCCCTTAGAATGCACGAGTCATGTTGCATTTGCAATGTTTCAGAAAGAATTAAATGCAAGCTAAACATATGCTCATTAGTATTTTCAGCAATGTCATGTATGTAAAGACCTTGTTGAAGTTTATGGGGCTTGACTTGTGCAGTTGTTAGTATGAATGAATTTTCTCTTGCTGATCACACAGCTTGGCTTAACAATGTGAACAATAGTCTTTTGCGTGATATATCACCCATGAAAATCACTCCATTCTAGCTCTACTTGCACTAGGATTAGATGTTGGCTGGAACTGGACTAGTTTTGCCTTGGACTAGTTCAATCAGCAAGTACGCTTCAGTTTATCATATATGGTTTCTCTTTCTGGTTCTCGATTTAGGTACCTTGTTATCAGATACACGCAAAGACGAGCAACCTATGTAACTGATGGTTATCGGCTCACTTTTTCTCTTTATGCATGTGTATCTGGTTCTTTGACGTTGCTCTAATTACTGATTCATTTCTTACATCTTTAGGCTTTGATTCGGAAATGGGCGCCCGTTGCTATTGTCCTTGGAGTTGTCATTCTCCTCTTCTGGGTTAGAACAAAGATTTGGTGATGTTGCCATAAAGATGCAGCTCAGTGATGAAGATACTTTTGATATGCCCCTTTTATCACCCAGAAGACCACCTGAGAGTTCAGTTGTCCAGCATGTGTAGTGCGTGCTTTCCAGCTGTGGTTGCTAGTCGAGCCACACCAGTTTTTTAGTGTAAAAGAGAGGAAATGAAGCGTGATGGATGAACTATGTTGCTAAATTTTAAGAAATGATATCGATTTGCATTCTCTTTGACATATGTTCCTTTTTTTGGGTCTTATTAGTTAACCTCAACACTTCCGGCGAGGTCATTGTAGTTCCAGAGATGAAAGTTCACGACTTGGAGAAGTTAAAGCAAAATCAAATTAGGCCTCAGTGTGTACAATTTCCAGTGTCCACTAAAATGAGTTCTGCTGCTTTTTTTCTATCTCAATTATTAGCGTCTTGAAGCATGAAAGAATTAAATGAATTCTGCTTCCAAGGGAAAGACTGAATGACATCGAATTTTGTACGTCCAATTTTCGGATGGTATGGTAAAAGGACGGGCTTACATGTTTTGACTACAAACAATTTCGAAAGAGCCCGTAATTTCTCAGATGTTGAGTTTATTGATGGGTTTCTATTAGTTTTTTTTAACTAAGGACTTTAATCTTCTGTTCTTGTCTTATTCTGCATGACCTGGGATGCATTTAAAGTCAGTATTCCAAATTCCAATCAATTCATATGCTTGGAATCTTCATTACCGTCAAGTTAATTGCTAGAATTTGATATCTGAACAGGAAAAGTAAATAGTACCAATCACGCGATTTACTCAAGTTCTCCCCTTCGTTCTCACCCTTCTTGATCTTTTCCTTGTCCTGTCCCTTTCACCTTTCATTTTCCCTTTATCTCTCTGCCTTTTTTTCTTCATTTCTTTTGTCTTTTTTCTTTTCTGTTCGTTTTCTTCGTTTGATTTTTAGATGGATATGGAAACCCATGAAGTTACAACTCTTGGGCAATCACATGAAATCGACAAAAAGTAGCTCCACTTGTGGCACGGACATCATATTACCCTGTTGATGCTAGATCAAAATACTTGCTATAATATTAAAAAGACAAACGGAAACTTCCAAAACACAGATCGAAATACTGCTAATCAGTTCGTTTTCTGCTAATCAAAAAGGCTATCTTTAAGTTCAACTACATCCATTAGCAAATTTGAGCTGTGAACTCTTCTCTGTATCCTACAGGTACTATATGCTTTTACTTCAAAACCTCAAATTCTGATCTCAAGTTCTGTTTAATCAATATGTCTTGTTTTTAGTGTCTCAAATTAGAGGAATTTGACATAGGAATGCTGGTGTGTGCAGGCTAAAATGGCAGGTGAAGCAGTTAATGTGAATGAATTTCAAGAGCTAGCTAAGAAAGCTCTTCCAAAGATGTACTATGACTTCTTTGCTGGAGGAGCTGAGGATCAGTATACACTAAATGAAAATATAGAAGCATTTCGTAGAATCACGTAAGTTTGTAGAATTTTTTCTCTTAGATTTGGCAACAGAGATCATAGTACTAACCTTTTCAGAAACTCAGTATTAGGCCAAGAATACTTATTGATGTGAGCAGGATAGACATGTCAACTACTATACTCGGTCACAAGACGTCGGCTCCCATTATGGTTGCCCCAACTTCCTCACATCAATTGGCACATCCTGAAGGTTTGGATAAAATTACTTAGTGAAAAAGGTCCAAATTTACCCCTCTACTATGTGAAATATTTTAATTTACCATCTGTTATATACTTTACTTCCATTCATACCTTACCATTAGCGAATTAGTCTCGTATTTGCCCTTGATTTTAGTGGAGCTCAAATTGGAGCTATGTTAGGGTCAAGGGCAAATATGAAACTGCTAATGGCAAGTACGAATGTTCCCAAAGTATAAAATTAAGATATTTCGTGCAGTCGAGGGGTATTTTTAACCATTTTGCTTATCAATTATAATTACCTAGTCTGTTAGCTGAACGTACTATGTAACTCTTATTCCATTGTATTTATGCCAGGGGAAGTTGCAACAGCTAGAGGTGCTGCAGCATGTAATGTTATAATGGTAATAGTTTTCCAAAATAGCAGATCCATTCCCAATTAACGGTGTGTGAATATTGAGTTGTCTTGATTCATAGGGATTGTCATTTACGGCTACATGTACCATTGAGGAGGTTGCTTCAAGCTGCAACGCTGTTCGCTTCTTCCAAACATATGTAAATTATTATTCCTGTCTCTCATGATTTTCATATATCTTTACTTATTTTTGTGTTTTGTTAACAGATTGGGTTTTATTCCTTGTTAATAGGTTTACAAACGGAGAGATATAACCGAACTTATGGTACACAAAGCTGAGAGCAATGGATTCAGGGCTATAATTCTCACTGCTGATACTCCGAGGCTTGGCAGAAGGGAGACTGATATAAAGAATAAGTAAGTTGTATATCCTTTTTACTTGAATTCTTTTCATTGTTCATCTCATCTGGAAGATGTCGGTTTCATCATTTTACTACTTAATAAATTTTGGAATCCTGTGTTGATCAACAAAGAGTCGGAATTGCAGGATGATTTCACCTCGCTTGAGGAACTTTGAAGGTCTTATAACAACTGAAGTAGTTTCTGTAAGATAAACCATTAATATCCTAGCTTTTTATAAAAAGCAATTATATATCAACTTGAAACTAGTGTAGACAATGCTTATTAATCCACTAATAAAACTATGCAGGATAAGGGCTCAAATCTTGAAGCATACGCTGCAGGAACTCTTGATCCTTCGCTTTGCTGGAAGGTACAAGATTTAAAAGTTAAATGTATGCATTCCTTAGTACCAGTGTTTTAAAAGGCATTTTCGGGGCGAGCCCTGGGGCGAGGCGATGGTGTGGGGCGAAAGTCTCAAGAGGCGTACGCTCGGGCGTTCAGGGCGTACGCCCGGCGTTTGAGGCGCGTTTTTGTAGTGAGGCATAAGCCCCATAGACTTTTTCAAATTAAAACAAAATTTGTTGCATAAGTCCTTCATATAATACCCAAATTCTCAAAAGTCAGCTTGTAATTACTCAAATTTTTTAAAAAAGAACTGAAATCTATTAAATTTAAAAGTCAAGACCTTTTTTAAGCCCTAATTTATGTTCTTTTCCAATCCTTTATCTTGTCCGCTAGTCTGCTAATATCCCCAAAAGCAATGAATATTCAATTTATTTTTTTACAAATACATAGAGAACTTCATTCTCCTTCATAACAGCTAGTTCAAAGTTCAAATTGCAGGTTAGTTATCCTTTTTGTTCCTCCATGTAGAAAATTTTATTCTTTTCGACTCAAGTTACTTGTGCTTGTAAGTAGCGTATAATAGATTATTTTGACTAGTTTTTTGTGGGGATGGAGCACATCTATATATATATTTTTCACATATTTATAGTTTTCTTCAATCTTTATATAATTTTACCTGTTTATAAATATTTACTATAATTATATTATTTTTAAATTATTAAAAATTAAATACCCATGGGGCTTACGCTCCGTGGCTCAGGGCTTACAAAACATCTCGCCTTACGCCCACGCCTTTTAAAACACTGCTTAGTACCACAGTAGAAGATATGATGAAATACAGTCTTGATCCATGAACTCAAATTTCTTGAGTGCCAACATATGTAAAATTGCTGAGCTACAAAGTACATTAGAGAAGGATCAGCGTTTCATGGTTTTTAGAGTTCAATACAAATATATGTTAGGGCAGCCCGGTGTAGTAAGTTCCTGCTATACGCGGTATCCGGGGAAGGGACGGACCACAAGGGTCTATTGTACGCAACCTTACCCTGCATTTTTGCAAGAGGTTATTTTCACGGCTCGAACCCGTGACCTTCTCGTCACATGGCAGCAACTTTACCAGTTACGCCAAGGCTCCCCTCAATACAAATATATGATCTACTATATTATTCTGGAATCCTCAGTCTCCAAAACTTCTGCAGGATATAGCATGGTTAAAATCAGTTACCAATTTGCCAATTCTGATTAAGGGCGTTCTCACTGGTGAAGATGGTATAATTATGATCGCTGAACCTTTAGCTATTTGCATAAAAAGCTTCAAATTTTCCTACCAAGTCTGAGTGTGCATTTCTTCTAAAGACTTGGCATGTACTACTACTTTTTGCAGCAATAATAGCAGTTGAAGCAGGAGTTGCAGGAATTATTGTCTCTAACCATGGAGCTCGGCAACTAGATTATACTCCAGCTACTATTTCTGTTCTTGAAGAGGTGATTTCCTTCCTTACATGATTGATGTCTTGCTACACAAAGCGCGTTTGAATTCTTTTCAATTGAAAGTTGAAATATGTTATTTGAAGTCTTAAAAGTTTTTAGATTAATAGATTTGAAATCTCCTCTTTAATCCAAATGTCTCCATCAAAAGTGAACCAAAATCTTTCAACGTATATATATTGGCGGTCAATATATTCCAATGGTTTTAGGTGGTCAATGCTGTTCAAGGCAAAGTTCCAGTTCTTCTTGATGGAGGAATTAGGCGAGGAACAGACATATTCAAGGCCTTAGCACTTGGCGCAAAAGCTGTTCTGGTAAACTTACATGACTTAAAGAAACTGACTTAACTTATATACACTGATAATATAAATAATTTTTACACTATCAGTATAATTTAACCTAATACAGTCAACCCTCTCTATAACAACCTCGTTTGTTCCGATATTTTTTGGCTTTTATAGTGAATGACTGTTATACACCTATAACAACATATGACGTTTAAATATTTTTTGGCTGTTATAGATAAAAATGATCCAAAAATAAATTCCTTTTTCAATATTACATATAAAAGATAAGAAAATTATTTAAATTTAAAATCTCAAAAGATATGCACATTTCACTAGTTAAATATTGAAAAAGCTAATACATTATTAATAAATTCATAACTAAACGTGTAAATATTTAAACTCTAAGACAAACATTTTAAAGCTACCTAGAAAAATAAATTTTTTCAAGATTGATGAAAGAACTTTGTAATTGTAGCTTGTTTTGTAAATTTATTCTCTTACTAGCGATAAAATGTTTGGCGAAGATTCGTGTCCAAATTTTCAGTAAAAAGGTATCAAATAACTTTCCGTTGAAGACAATCTAAGAGCTTAACAGTTAAATTTTCTATCTAAATATTTTTGGGAATTTGTCCAATGGAAAAGATATCATGTGCAAATCTTCAAATCTTATATCTTACGCAAGATATAAACTTTGTTTAATGGAAAAGATTTTGTGCATATTTTTAAAACTATTATAGTAATCTTAATGATTCTATATGGCTGGTATAAATGGATAATTTTACAAAGAACGTTCTGTTATAAATATGGTTATTGTTGTTATAAGTAAAAAACTATTATAGAGGTAAAATATAACTTAAAAAATCGGTTATGAAGAAAACTTGATTTTTATAGTGAATGACTGTTATATAGGGATGCTGTTATAGAGAGATCTTACTGTACATATTCGTGCAGATTGGTCGACCGGTTGTCTACGGCCTGGCCACTAAGGGGGAGTCTGGTGTAAAGCAAGTTATTGAAATGTTGAAGAATGAACTTGAGCAGACCATGGCTCTTGCTGGCTGCTGCACGCTGAATGACATTACCAGAAGCCATGTTAAGACAGAGAAAGAAAGGTTCCTTTGTAGGATGTAGTTTCCATCCTCTGTTATTTAAATGAGTTTAAGTTCTACGCACCGATGATGTAAAAAAATATTTATACAATCAGGTCACTTTAAAGTAATTGCAGGTAAGTCTATTTAAATAGCATTGATTGGTAACCTGTAATAAGCTGTCATATTTCCGTGGACCTACTTAGCTTATTGGACTCTAACTTCAATTTCCGAAGCAGATATAGGCCAACTAATCCATATGAGATGCTCCCTTTTGCTTAGGATTCTCGTACAACTGATCCACTTTCAGATGCTATGCTTTGTTTATCACCATTGTAGGATAGGCAGCCCGGTGAACTAAGCTCCCGCTATGCGTGGGGTCCGGGGAAGGGTCGGACCACAAGGGTCTTTCACCATTGTAGGATAAATCTTGAAAATGGAAATTAAAAGATTGTGTATGAGAATTGAGTTTCCTTAGTTACTCGTACTTGTTATTTTTTACCTGAAAGTTTTATTCAGCAAGATTAATTTTACTTATCAAATCCAGAAGATATGATGACTATGAACTGTAAGAGAATAACCAGATAAACAAGAACGATAAGAGTTCCTTTTTTTCATGAGCTAATTCAACTAAGACATTTTCGGATGAGGAAATCAATGATTTAAGAAAGAGTTTCCAATAAATTAGTGATGTAATATTATGTAAACAAGAAACTGTTGATTTAGTAATGTGTTAACAAGAAATTAACAAGAGTGAGATTAAATGGATCAATCAAAGTAAATAACAGGAATGAGTTCCTCAAGTGGCCTTAGTTGAGGGGCAGGGGTAGAAGCTCAGATGTGAGTTCTGCCGAACCCAGTAACTTTTGCTCAAACAGTGTATTTGTGTTAAGAAATTCTTTAAATATGTTCAGTTATTAACACTTGACTAAAATTCAGAACTCATAAAAGTGAAATCCTAGTTGATCTATAAACTCCGGTCGTATCACAATATAACAGAACCTTCTGAACATAAGCTCATAAAAGCTTCACCTCCAAAAATATAGAAGGGCCAAATCATCAAAACCTCCTTGATAAAGTCTTCACCTGGATTGCATTTTAAAAAGTCAGCATTCCAATCAATTCACACACTGAAATCTTCATTACCATCAAGCTACTGCTAGAATCATAAAAGCGATATTAAATTGTACCAATACGGAGATGATTTACACCACAAGTTCTCCCCCTTCTTTCTCAGCTGTTATGTTCCCTTCTTTCATTTCTTGACCTGGTGCCTTTCACCTTCCAAGAATCATTTGCAGCCAAGTGATTAGTGTATAGGCACATGCCTATTTCTTTCAACCCCGGACCCCCACACTTTTGACTATATTTCATGGAGATGGAAACAGTAATCCTCTGATCATTTAAAAGCTGCGCGCAGCAATCCGAAAGGCTATCTATAAGTTCTAAAAACAGCAAGGGGAGATACTGGAGACGTGTACTCTTCTCTGTATCCTACAGGTACTAATTTTTGCTTTCAAAACCCCAAATTCTGCTCTCAAAAGAAAAACAAAATTCTACAATGAGAGAATTTTTAACATACGAATGCTCGTGTATGCAGGCTAAATGGCAGGTGAACCAGTTAATATAAATGAATTTGAAGAGCTAGCTAGGCAAGCTCTTCCAAAGATGTACTATGACTTCTTTGCAGGAGGAGCTGAGGATCAGTATACACTAAAAGAAAATACAGAAGCATTTCGTAGAATCACGTAAGTTTGTAATTCTTGCTCTTCAGTTGGCAACTGACAGAGATTTCTAGAACTAACTTTTCATGAAATCAGTATTCGACCAAGAATGCTTGTTGATGTGAGCAGAATAGACATGTCAACTGTTATACTTGGTAACAAGACGTCGGCTCCCATTATAGTTGCCCCAACTTCCTCACATCAATTGGCACATTTTGAAGGTTTGAATAAAATCAATTTTTACCTTAGTCTGTTAGCTGAACGTACCATGTCGCACTTATTCCATAAAGCTGTTGTATCTATGACAGGAGAAGTTGCAACAGCTAGAGGTGCAGCAGCATGTAATGTAATCATGGTAATATTTTCCTTAAAGATAAAAAGATCAGCTTCGAATTCTGGTGTGTGGATACTGAATTCTCTGGGTATAGGGATTGGCATTTACGTCTACATGCACAGTGGAGGAGGTTGCTTCAAGCTGCAATGCTGTTCGCTTCCTTCAAACTTTCGTAACTTATTATTCCCAGCTCTCATGATCTTCATATATCTTCACTTGATTTTGTGTTCTGCAACAGATAGGTTATTTATTCTTTGTCAATAGGCTTTCAAGAGAGATATAATAGAACTTGTGGTAAGGAAAGCTGAGAGCAGCGGATTCAGGGCTATAATTCTCACTGCTGATACTCCAAGACTTGGAAAAAAGGAGGCTGATATAAAGAATAAGTAATGTGTATAATGTTTTGTTTGTCATTGAAGTCTAGCTAAAATCTTTTTCATACTTTATCGGTTTCATCATTCAGAATTTTATGGTTTTGTGTTAATCTTACTAAGACTCAGAATTGCAGGATGATCGCACCTCGGTTGGGGAACTTTGAAGGTCTTATATCAACTGAAGTTGTTTCTGTAAGTTAAACCGTTAATTTCTGGTTTTTTGCTAAAACCAATTATTAGACAAATTACATGTAAGCTCAAACATGGAAAACTTGAAACTCCTTAAAGAAACAAGCTTATTTTGCAGGACTACAATATCACAAATTAGCTGGTTCCTCCTACTATATGCATTAGTGTTCTCTTTTATTAGTTTCGATATGTCAACTTGCAAATAGTATAGACTATGCTTATTAATCCACAAATAAAATTCTGCAGGACAAAAGCTCAACTGTTGAAGCATACACTGCAGAAACTCTTGACCCTTCGTTTTGCTGGAAGGTACAAGATTTAAAAGTTAAATATATGTGTTACTTAATACCACATTAGAAGATCATACGATGAAATATAGTCTTGGTCCTTGAATGCAAAATTTGTTGAGGATGTCAATGCATGTTAAAATATGTAAAATAGCCAAGCCACAAAATACTTTAGAGAATGATAAGAGTTTTCACAGTTCAATACGATATATTATTCACCTTATTCTTCTGTAATCCTCACACTCTCCGAAACTTTGCAGGATATAGCGTGGTTAAAATCAGTTACCAAGTTGCCAATTCTGATAAAGGGCATTCTCACTAGTGAAGATGGTATAATATTTATCATAAACCTTAGCTCAAGTCAACAGAATCTCTAATCGCCTCCATATATCATGTACTTGTTTCTCTAAATTCCATATAAGTTTCCATGGAACACACTGAATATTTGATATATCGTTTTAACTTACAACAACATCATACCCAGTATAATCCTGCAAGCGGGGTCCAGGGAGCGTAGTGTGTATGCAGACCTTACCCCTATCTTGTGAGAGTAGAGAGGTTGTTTCTGATAGACCCTCGACATATATACATACGTATACATACTTAATTGTCAAAGTATATCTTCTAGCAAGCTTCTTTTATATTTTTTAAGATGATAGGAAAAGCTTCAACATGTATTAATTACAGATATAAACTTGATTTCCCTACCAAGTCTCACCAATTGAGAATCTCTTCCAAAGATTTTTCTTATACTATTTTGTTGCAGCAATCAAAGCAATTGAAGCAGGAGTTGCAGGAATTATTGTCTCTAACCATGGAGCTCGGCAACTAGATTATACTCCAGCTACTATTTCTGTTCTTGAAGAGGTGATTTCCTTCCTTACATGATTGATGTCTTGCTACACAAAGCTCATTTGAATTCTTTTCAATTGAAAGTTGAAATATGTTATTTGAATTCTTAAAAGTTTTTAGATTAATAGATTTGAAATCTCCTCTTTAATCCAAATGTCTCCATCAAAAGTGAACCAAAATCTTTCAACGTATATATATTGGCTTCCATATATTCCTCCTTAAATTCCAATGGTTTTAGGTGGTCAATGCTGTTCAAGGCAAAGTTCCAGTTCTTCTTGATGGAGGAATTAGGCGAGGAACAGACATATTCAAGGCCTTAGCACTTGGCGCAAAAGCTGTTCTGGTAAACTTACATGACTTACAGAAACTGACTTAACTTATATACACACTGACAGTACTATCATTGTAATTTAAGCTAATACATATTCGTGCAGATTGGTCGACCGGTTATCTACGGCCTGGCCGCTAAGGGAGAGTCTGGGGTAAAGCAAGTAATTGAAATGCTGAAGAATGAACTTGAGCAGACAATGGCTCTTGCTGGCTGCTGCAATGTGAATGATATTACCAGAAGCCATGTTAAGACAGAAAAAGAAAGTTTCCTTAGTAGGATGTAGTTTCCATACTCTGTAGTCTGTACCTTAAATAAATGGACTGGCCCCAACTCAACAATATTGTCATATCTTGCTTTGTAATAATCTTATGTGTGCAGAAGCATTATCAGTGCTTGTATATGATTTTTGATACTTTCCAATAATAAAATCCTTGTATTATTTCCTTATGGTAATTGGTACCTACACATCAGCTGAATGTTCCTTGATTTGCCCAACAATTCTCTGTTACAGAGAAGACCATTGTCATCAACATCCAGAAAGTTAATTGGGGAGTGTAGTGAACATTGGGAGAAATTTCAAGATTGAAAAAACATTTTGGTTGATGGTAAATTGAGTGGGAAATTCAGTAGTCAAGTGGCTCAAGACTTATGTGTAATGTAATTGGAGGTACCTTGAGCTCCTAGAGCTGTACCTAACTGTTACATAATCACCATCATCATCATAATAATAATACTATATTATAAGTAGAAAAAACCAAAGTAAAAGTTGAATTACCAAATTGTTCTACAAAAGTTAAATGACTTTCTTCACCCTTCAAGCAAATACTACCAAAGTAATCTTTTTGGTACAAACATGGAATTACACATTCTAAAAAAGTTTTAAAAAATTTGGAGAATTTAAGGAGTTGCATTGAGTAATTCAATAATAGGCTAAATTAATTTGATTATTTTAATTAATACAAGTCGAATTCATCTATGCAAATTATCACCAATTATCCATTCAAAAATATATACAAGGTTTATTAGCATATATTGGCGATAGAGCTTGTTTTGACTTATGGCATCCTACTTCTATTATGCTATTTAAATCACACTAAGTTGCAAAAACACTCATATTTATTTGTTCCGTTTAAAAACTTCAAAAGTCACCTTCTTAGTTGACTGATCTTCGTAACCTTTCACATCGTATCTTTACCTATTATTTATGGGCAAAATTTTATATCCATTCTTTTTTCTATGTAAGTTTAGTACTAAAAAATTTATATTTTCCGGACCAGAATCTATCTATCTATGTAATTTTACCTCTCTATTCTAGGATAAACAAACTTCATTATCTCCACTTATATATTTATATATATATATNACGTTCATTACTCATAATCTTATATTTTCTGATTTAGATTCATCTAAAATATCTTGAACCCCAATTTGTGTTAAAACTGAGATTTTTGTCGCAGGTGTAAGAAAGATGCTAAAATTTTGCCTAATAGAGTTGAACGTTCATTACTCATAATCTTATATTTTCTGATTTAGATTCATCTAAAATATCTTGAACCCCAATTTGTGTTAAAACTGAGATTTTTGTCGCAGGTGTAAGAAAGATGCTAAAATTTTGCCTAATAGAGTTGAGGATGCAGTTGAGTGCAAGTGGTGTTAGTTTCTCCTCAGGTAACGAATAAATATATGAAGATATAAATTTATGTTAAGTTGATGTGTATTCTTTAATCAATTTGTTCTTTAATTTATCATTTTAAAAAAATAAAAAACTTCACGAAAGCTTATATTCTTATGATTGTGATGTTCTTGTAATAGCCAATTGTACTTTTTATATATTGTAATTAAATTGAAATTTTTTCTTTGTGCGGTTCTTTTGTATTTGTTTCTTTGCTATTATGTTTACGGGTTGTCTGAAATAAAGGAACATCGCCATCTAATGATTTTTGATGTAAGGTTTCTTCAATTATGGGATTAATTAAGTAGGATCAATATCATTCGCTTTAGGAATTTGCAATTAAATTTTATTTTATAACTCAAATATTTTTTTAACGATATTTATATAATTTTTAAAAGAGTGAATACCCTAAAACCCCTTAAACTATCATGTTTTTGTCAGTTACAAACTTAAACTATCTGGTGTCCTCAAAACCTCCCTTAACTATATCCCCTTATATATTAAAAAACCCTTCGTCGATTTTTTAATAAAATATGTAAGGTAACTCGCCAAAAGGCGCGTGAGAGATGAAATTATACATAAAAATGGCCCCAATTGGCCATTTCTAATGGTTAATTATTGTTACCCTCTTTTAAAAATTTAATTTTTGTATTTTCCCTCTATTTTCTTTGTATTCTAGCCTTCTTCTTCATTTTTTTTTATCTTTCTTCTTCCTTTTATTCTTATGGGTTTCATATGAAATTTTTTTCTTCTCTTGCTTGTTTCTTCTAAAATTATCTTTCTTCTTCATTTAGGTCTTCTTCTTTCAACCAAATCCTAATTTATTTTATCCCAAATCTCGTATTAAACTATAATTCCCGATGAAAACGAAGGTTATTGGAAAAAATCTAATATTAAATCGAAGTTTAATGGTAAAAATCACGATTGAGATATGGTGTAGCCATTATCGGAGGAGATAGAAGAGATTTTTTTTCTTTACAAATGACTATGTGTTTATCCCTTCATCCTCTTCCTTTGATTTTTTAAACCCCCAAACATTTACCCATTTAATTAATTTTTATTATTATTTAAAATTCTTAATTAAATTGATATATCATATTAGGCTGAGTAAATAGAAGGGTGTATCACACTCACCACTAAAAAATCGGCGAGCGTTTTTTAATATATAGATGTATATAGTTAGGGGTGGGGTTTTGGGATATCGGATAGTTTAAGTAGGATACTGACAAAAACGTGATAATTTAGGGGAGTTTTAAGATATTTACTCTTAATGTTATTAGGTCCCAAAAACTAGTAGGTTAAAAAGACGGGGGTAGTTTTGTTTATAAATAAATTATACTTAAATTATAATGTGAGGACTATAATACGGGTAATGATGACAAGATAAATTATAATGTGAGGATTGTAATAATGGCAAGATTTTATTTTAACGGATTAAAAATAATATACCATATATAATACGTACAGATATTTGATTTATAAATAAAACAAATTTGATAAGCTTTATTTGTAGTTTTAACCTTGACTTTCTTATAGGAGTTTGGGAGAAAGATTTGGTGAAGGGCATCTTTACATTTTATTATTTTATCCTGAAATTAAGTATCCCGATTATTTTATTCTTTATTCACTCTTCTTGCATTTTGTGAACTTGAAACAAGATTGGAGATTATAATACTGCTAAATGATTGGAGCACTATTAGAATATTGCTAAAAGATTAACAAGTTGCGTCAGGAAAAAAATAGTAAAGCTACTCAGCTTTTCAAATGGCTACTTCTGAGTTCAACAACAGGAAGAACCAGTGGAGAAGTGCCTAACTCTTCTCTGTATTGTCCGGGTACTAAAATTGTTTCTTACCATCTTCTATTTTCCTATTATTTTTCTTTTCGCTTGTGGAGGATTATTTTCCTGTTTGAATTAGTTGGAAAGGTCTCTTTTTAATATATTTTTTTTACTGCAGTATTTTGATGTCTGATAGTTGAACTCGTCGGATCACATGATTTGATTTCTGAATCTGAATTATAACATGGTTTAGATCCTAATCTCTAATATGTATTTAATGCTACCCCTTGATCTTGGGTTTACTTGTTACAAAGGATTCGTTCTTTACCTAAACACACTTGAGTGGTTAAATCGCATAAACACAAACATTTCAATTTTCAACAGGAATCTATTACCCCCTCAGTTCCATATTATACAACCCTTTTTTCTTTTTAATCTGTTTCCAAAAACGGCAGATTTCTATATTTGGAAAGTCCTTGGTAATCCGCGCGGCCTTCTCAACTGAGCTAAAACAGAGAGAGATCTCCGATTGATCGGGAACTGGAATTGTTTCACGCCTCTGCTGACTATTATATGTCCACCGAGGTTTCCACCAGTTAAAGATCTCTATTTTAACACGATCGAGAGTTCTTAATCTAGCTAATTCAGCATCCTTATGTTTAAAGACTGGCGGTAATCCGCACAATCAGTAAGGATATAAGAATCGAAATATACTTGAATTTTTTATATATTTTGATGACTGTATGGAAGGTTTAACCTTTTACTCAAGCAAGGGGTCTGTCTTAATATAATACATACTCTCATTGAGCCCATGTGTCTAGCAGTTCTAACCGTGAAAGAAGATGCCATTTTCAATTCATTCATCGGGCTAAGGTTCACGGCTGGCTAGACGGAGCCACTAAGGCAAAGCCAATAAGAGTAGTGTTATATTAGACTGTACCAACCATCTCGAAACCAAGTCAAGAAATTATATACAAAATTCATTTATATTTTGATAGATGCCGTCTCTTTCTTGGTTTATATAGGAGAGAAGTTAGATATTCAACATAGATATGAAGTCTCTTAGCCGGACATAGTCACGGCCAGAGAGGAGAGACTAGATGAAATACTAAGAAACAACAAAATAAATACCTTTTGGCCGGGATGCAAGGCCTGAAGATGAAAAACTCGAAACTAACTTTATTTACTCTGTTTTTCGATTACAGAGAGTAGTACTTACAATTGAGAGAAAGAGAGAGAGTTTAGAGAGAGAGGGGTTTTGCTTCTTCCTCCTTTCTCTGAAAGAATGAATCGTTTAAATAGAAAAGAAAAAGAATCTATGAACAGTAAAATAGGGTCCCATATGGGTCCCTGTACAGTGTTTCTACTGTGCAAACAGTGTTTTTACTGTTGACGAACAGTGTTTCTACCGTTGAAACAGTTTATCTACTGTTGAGTGGGGTCCAGCGGCTGGGTTTGGCGGCTTCACTGTGCAGTGGGGTCCGGCGGCTTCACTGTGCTGGTCGCTTTTCCATCTTTTTCATTTTGCGGAGGAATTCTTCCGCATTTTGTAAGGCTTCATCAGATAATATCTTCTCTGATTCAATAGGTTGGGAATCATCTGCGA